GGGTTGCACCACACTATGGTGGCCCGACAAGCCTTGGCACATGGGAGAAGCAGACAATGAACAAAACCTTTCCTGATACCTTTAATGATACACGTAGGAGACCCCACCCTTAATAATGCAGAATTTTTATTTGAACCTGCCCAGTAAACAATGTGAAGAACTGGGGATCTAGTCGCCAAAAATCCACTGTGACAAGGGGGTGGCCAACTACTAACTGAAGGCAGGGGGTTGTCATTGGGAGACCCCATCCTAGCAGCCAGAAGGCAGGCAGAGACCTTATCACGAACCATCAGCTCTGGAGAAAGCTTGAGCACAGGGATTCTCCTTCATAATAGTGGATGGCACTTGGACACCCCAACCACCGAGCTCTCTTCTGGCCACAGGTAACATTCCTGGTGACTGAAGACACCTCAAGGGTTCAGGGCCGAGCTCGGCGTGAGATCTTGTCCCCTCTGCGTTTTGAGCCATACAAAGCAGTGGCCCTGGCCTCAGGAGGAGAAGTGATCTTCACCAAAGACCAGCACATTGGAGACGTGGCAGCCATTGTTGGGGACAGCATGGCTGCCCTGGTGAGCAAGTGGGGGCCAGGGCCCTCACTTAGGAACTGAAGGGTGGTCAGGCTGCACCTCTCTTTTTATAGGAGAAAGGGGAATCACTCTCACTGCTGTGTTGTTCTTCCAGTCACGGGGCAGGAAAGGAAGTTTCTCCCCCTCTGAGATCCATGGCTAGCCATTTCTTTTTTTTTGAGATGGAGTCTCACTGTCACCCAGGCTGGAGTGCAGTGGCGCGATCTTGGCTCACTGCAAGCTCTGCCTCCCAGGTTCAAGGGATTCTCCTGCCTCAGCCTCCCGAGTACCTGGAGTTAAGGCACCCACCACCAGGCCCGGCTAATTTTTGTATTTTTTAAGTAGAGCCAGGGTTTCACCAGTTTTTTGGCCAGGTTGGTCTCGAACTCCTGACCTCAAGTGATCCGCCCACCTTCGCCTCCCACAGTGCTGGGATTATAGGCTCGAGGCACTGCGCCTGGCCTGTATTGTCCTTTTATATCAGTAAACCCCTCCCCGCTTGGCTTCCAGTATTCTGCCTTCAGCATTACCACAGGAAGTCCTACCGTCTTTCTGGGGAGGTGGCTTGTATTTTGCAGAGGCAGAGTCTTGCTTTATTGACTAGGCTGGTCTTGAACCCCTGGCCTCAAGTGATCCTCCTGTCTTGGTCTCCCAGGTGCTGGGATTACAGACATGAGCCACTATGCCTGGCCCATCATCTTTTAATGGGGCACAAGATGTGATTGTCTCATCCTGAATCCCTTGCCTCCAACTTTGTCCCTGACCATAATAACTTCATCCCTGGCCCTGTGCCCCTCTCTCACTGTACCCCTTTCTCTCTGTGTGACGTGGTTTTTTTCTTTTTTTTTTTTTTAAGACAGAGTCTTGCACTGTCACCCGGGCTGGAGTGCAATGGTGCAATCTTGGCTCACTGCAACCTCCGCCTCCTGGGTTCAAGCAATTCTCCTGCCCCAGCCTCCCAAGTAGCTGAGATTATAGGCACCCACCACCACACCTGGCTAATTTTTTTTTTTTTTTTTTTTTTTTTTTTTTTAGTAGAGACATAGTTTCACTATGTTAGCCAGGCTGGTCTCGAACTCCTGACCTTGTGATTCGCCTGCCTCAGCCTCCCAAAGTGCTGGGATTACAAGTGTGAGCCACCACACCCGGCCCAATGACATGGTTTCTTCCTATCTCCCCTATCTTCTTTGTTCCTCATCCCATACCTCATCTTCTCCCCCATTTTCTGGTCCTGCTGATCCCTCAAGGTGACTCTTCCCCTGGACCCTCCTTTTGCGGTGCCTGGGCGGCCACTTGTGTTCAGCGTGGATGGGCTGCTCCAGAAGATCACAGTCCGGATCCACGGGGACATCAGCAGCTTCTGGATCAAGAACCCTGCAGGTACGTCTGAAGGCAGAGGGAAGAATGGCGACTGGGGGAATAGACAGTCGAGGGGATGTACTCAAGGAGAGCCAGTGTTTCATTTCTTCCCTGACCCCAGGGGTCTCCCAGGACCAGAAGGAAGGCACAGGTCCTCTAGGTCACACTCACCGCTTTGGGCAGTTCTGGATGGTGACCATGCATGACCCTCCACAAACAGGAACCTGGGAGATCCAGGTCACAGCTGAGGACACCCCCGGGGTGAGAGTGCAAGGTAAGGAGGGAGGTGTTCCTGGGAAAGGAAAGGAGAGACTGCAGGCCTCGGAGAACACGATCAGTCACATTCCTTTCAGGAAGGGCTCTGACTGCCTTTGCCCTTTCCCAGCCCAGACCTCCCTGGACTTCCTCTTCCACTTTGGGATCTCCATGGAGGACGGACCCCACCCTGGCCTCTACCCCCTGACTCAGCCAGTTGCAGGTACCTCTATTCCCTGAGCCCCCACCCACCTAACCCCCAGTTATTTATTTATTATTTTTTTTCCGCTCGCCACCCAGGCTGGAGTGCAGTGGTGCGATCTTGGCTCACTGCAAGCTCCACCTCCCAGGTTCACGCCATTCTCCTGCCTCAGCCTCCTGAGTAGCTGGGACTACAGGCGCCCGCCACCACGCCCGGCTAATGTTTTGTATTTTTGGTAGAGATGGGGTTTCGCTGTGTTAGCCAGGATGGTCTCCATCACTTGACTTCGTGATCCGCCCACCTCCGCCTCCCAAAGCGCTGGGATTACAGGCGTGAGCCACCGCGCCCGGCCAAACCCCCAGTTTTATATATATATACGTGTGTGTGTGTATATATGTGTGTGTGTATATATATATAACGTATATATGTATACATACATCTATGCATATGCATAACTTTTATATTGAGTTATAATTTACATAATGTGCACTAAAGTGTACAGTTTGATGGATTTCATATAATACGCCCAGTTCAGGATATAGGACATTTCCAGCACCCCAGAACTCCCTCCTGATACTCCCCATCGATACCCCTTGAAGGTAACCTATTTTTCCATCCATACTCCCCAGAGGGAACCCTTATTTTGAAGGCCATTAATTCTTTTCTCCCTGTGTCTCCGAATCTCACAATGTTCTCCCCTCCTCGCCCCTGTCCCAGGTCTCCAGACCCAGCTGCTGGTAGAAGTGACAGGGTTGGGTTCCCAAGCGAATCCTGGGGATCCTCAGCCGCATTTCTCCCACGTCATCCTTCGAGGGGTCCCAGACGGTGCCGAACTAGGCCGGGTGCCTTTGGAGCCTGTGGGACCTCCGGAGCGAGGTCTCCTCGCAGCCTCGCTGCCGCCCACGCTGCTGTCCACCCCTAGACCCTTGTCCCTGGAGCTGATTGGCCAGGACGGAGCGGGGCGGCGCCTGCACAGGGCTGCCCCTCAGCCTAGCACTGTAGTCCCTGTCCTTCTGGAGGTGAGACACTAGGGGAAAAGTGCGGCTGGGGCTGGAAAGAGTTGGAGCGGCCCCTTCCCTGACGAGCCCTTCTCTGCAGCTTAGTGCGCTCTCGGGTTTCTTGGCCCCGGGCAGCAAGGTCCCGCTCAGTCTGCGCATCGCCAGCTTCTCGGGCCCTCAGGATCTTGACCTTAGGACTTCTGTCAACCCCAGCTTCTCCCTCACCTCCAACCTCTCCAGGTGAGGCCCCTGAACCCTCCAGCTCCCTCTGGCATCTTGTCTCGCCCGTGCTTATCCCAAGCCCCGCCCCTGGCCCCTTCCGATTGGCTCTCAGAATCCTCCTCTCACCTCACGTGCCCCTGCGGGCGTCCCCTGACTCTGGGCTCTGGACAGCCAGGGGCTTTAGCGACGCCTATATCGTCTCTCCAGGGCTCACCTGGAACTGAATGAGTCGGTCTGGGGCCGCCTGTGGCTGGAGGTCCCAGACTCAGCGGCCCCGGATTCCGTGGTGATGGTGACTGTGACTGCAGCGGGACGAGAAGACAGCCCAGTGCCCCCGACTCATGCTTTCCTCCGGCTCCTGGTATTGGCCCCAGCCCCGCAGGTGAGGCACCGCTACTTTCCATCACAGGGTAGGCAAGGCAGGGGGAGGGTGGTGTAGGTTTAATTTGAGTACACTCTGGCACACCCTGTCATTCTCTTCCTCTTCCCCGCAGGACCAGCTCGCCACCCCTACCGGCTCATCTGACCCAACCCTCACCACGGCCACCCCTGCCTTTTCCCCCTTCACATTGGTGACTCAAGGCAGGGCTGGGGCAGGGTTGGCGGGCAGCCCCTGGTGGGGCACAGTTGGAGGGTTGCTTCTTCTGCGAGGCCTGGCCTCCTGGTGACACAACAGACTCTAGAGGGATGGGTCTCCAGCACTATTTTCAACCTGCCCCATTGGTAAGAAGACCTGGGACACATTTGTCACATAGGCCTTAGGACCTTGCCTCTCCTAGCTGGGATGAAGGTTTTCTTTTTCTTTTTTTTGAGACCGAGTTTTGCTCTTGTTGCCCAGGCTGGAGTGCAGTGGCACGATCTCGGCTCACTGCAACCTCCGCCTCCCAGGTTCAAGCAGTTCTCCTGACTCAGCCTCCCAAGTAGCTGGGATCACAGGTGCCCGCCACCATGCCTGGCTAATTTTTTGTATTTTTAGTAGAGACAGGGTTTCACTATGTTGGCAAGGCTGGTCTCGAACTCCTGACCTCAGGTGATCCAACTGCCTCGGCCTCCCAAAGTGCTGGGATTACAGGCGTGAGCCACCGTGCCCCACCAATGAAGGTTTTCTTTCTCCAGCACATCCCTTTCCTTTCTTAAAAACTTCAAGACTGGGGCTGGGCGCGGTGGCTCATGCCTGTAATCCCAGCACTCTGGGAGGCTGAGGCAGGAGGATCACTTGAGCCCAGGAGGTTGAGGCTGTAGTGAGCTGTGGTCCTGCACTACAGCCTGAGCGACAGTAAGACGCTATCACAGAAACAAAACAAAACAAAACAAAAAACCCTGTAAGGCTGGGATAGAGGGCAATGGATTTTCCCACAATGCACTTTTCCTAACCCTATGAGAAACAAACCAAAGACATTTTTGGAGAAAGTTGCTTTCTGGAGCAGCTTTGGTTTTATTTTTGTATTTAAGGCTGAAGGACAGTTTCAATAAACATGTCTTCTCCCCAGAGGGATTTCAAAGAAAGATCATTTTTGCACGTCATATAGGGGAGAATGAGGACGTGAGACACCAAGAAGGTGAAGTTTTCAGGAGCAGAGGAGAAACATTACACCAAGATGTCTGAACTTCATTGACTCACTACCTGGAGCCATTTTTTAGCTGTTAAGAAACAGAAAAAGGAGCCTGGGGCTTCTGACTGTTTCACCAGGCTTAGGGGAGTGAGAGGAGGGTTTAGACACGGGTAGGGCCTCTTGGCCCGTTGGTGCAGCCCCGTTGAGCCATCTCCTCCTTTGGCTGGGTGACTCCTTTCTGCTGCCTTGACAACTCCTGGAGGAGAGGAGAAACAGATGGGGCCTCTGGGCTCCTCCCAGCCCTGTAGGGTGGGGCTCCTGCCCTCTCTCTTGAAGTTTACCTGTTGCCGCCACAAGTTCTGCTTCCTTCGTCTTTCCTTTGAATCCTGGGTGGTGCAGGAACTAGCCTTGTTCAGTGGACTGGGGGAGAACTGGAGGGGAAATTCACTGTGTTTTCTGTTAAGCCAGCACTGACCCCAACAACTCCCCTCACTAGTCCAGCTTCCCAAAAGTCTAAACTGAAACAATAAACTCACCTTCTCATGAATCAGATTCTGCAAACAGATGTTCACCTTTTGAATCTGGGCTAACGGGGGGCCACCAGGCTCTGAGTGTAAATCTGTTAGAAAATTCTAGAGGAGGAGTTGGAGGCTGACAACATGGTGAAAACCTGAGGTCCATCTGCCACTCTATTCCGGTCACCACAGGCCATCCCTCTCATCCGGATTCCCTCATCCCAGTACCCTCCCAGGCAGGTGGGAAAATCCAATACTCTTCACTTCCATCTCTTTAGCAGGTCAGTTCCTCCATCCCCTCAAATAGCACAACACCCCCTTTCCCTACTCTTCATGGAGCCTCCCTGTCCATCCCTGCCCCATTGGAATAATCCGGCCACGCCCTCATCTCCATGGAGTGATCCAAATCCCTCTGAATGGAATGCAGACCAGCTTCCTCCAGCCCCAACAATGAACACCAACTTAACACTTGGTGGCATCCTGTCATTACGGTGCTGCCTCCAATTCATGATCCCTGACCATTAACTCTCCCCTCTCCAGAGTGGTCTCAGGCTGTGTCTACACATTCCTTGTTCCTCCCTCCCTGGCCCTCCCCCCATTCACACAGAGGGGCAGCCCCCATACCTCACCAAGGGCCCCTAGATGTAGCTGCTGTTGCTGTGCCTCCTTCAGACGGTCTTCAAACCAGGCCTGGCCATGCTGTAGCAGCTCCAGCCCCTGCCACAGGGCATCCTGTTCTCTCTCCAGAGCCTGCATCCTCCGCAGCTGGGAAAGGCAAGCACAGAGGCTGACTCTTGTGCCACAGCAGGGCTCTGGGTTATGGCCCTTTCTCTCCACCCCTGGTTGGGTTCAATGTGTGGTCACTGAGTGTGAACCCAGACTGGCCACTGAGGACCTGGAGGGCAAGGGGAGGCAGGTGGGAACACTGTGGGCCCTCAAATTGAATGGAAACATAAAGGGCAGGTCTATGGAGAGACTTCCCCTGGGACCTCTTGTTGTACTGATACTCACCCAAAGGAAGAAGCTCCGGGCCCCCGGGTCTTGGCGGCTTGTTCCCAGCGGCAGCAGCAGGACTGTGTAGGGAACCTGCACCAAGGGCATCCCGCCAGAGCCCTGGCTCCCCATGGCTCTGAAGTGGGAAGGGTGGAGCCACTCCCACTGGTGCAGCCCGGGTTGGTCCCTCCCTTCCACCCCTGCTTTGCACCCATCCTGCCTCTGCCAGCCTCTCAGGCCCCTTCCCGCTGTGTCTGTCTGAGGCTGGCGTGTTCCTACTTGAGAAGAGAGACCATCTCCCTTGGGCCCCTCTGTCTTCCCTCTAATCTGTTTTGTAGGCCTCTCTGAAGTGGTTCATTCTCATGAACGATCCTTGGGTAGAATCTGAGAGTCTTCCTACAGCAAGGACACTATTTTTATTGAGGCAGGGCAGGTTCCCCTGTGGACTCCTGCTCTGTGTTTCGGATCTTTCCTAGTCTCTCGTTCTGGCTGGCCTAAAGAAACAGTATCTTTCTTCAAAATAAACTTTATTCCTAATATGAAACAAAATTTCTAGAGAAACTAAAAACTCTGGGTCTGAAGGCGATAAGGAAACAAAGAGGGCATGGCAGCCCACTGGGGTCTCAGGAGGCTGGGGAGGACACAGGAAGGACTCTCAGAGGATGCTGGTGGCAGCAGGCAGCACTTCCTGGCTCATGAAAACGTTCAAGTCCAGGTTAGGATCTTCCAAATCCAGTTTCATAAACTTATCCACTAATGTCTGGCAACTGAAGAAGAGAGAAAATAGCAAGATTTATGGCAGAATGGACAACCAAGTCCCTGGGCAGAGGGGAGAGGCTGTGGCACAGGAAACCTGGGATCTTGAAGATTTAGGGATTTCAGAAAGCAATGGTGGGTTTCTGAAGGGCAAAGTGCTGGAGGAAGGCTGAGTCCCTGAAAAGGGGAGAAGAGTTGCAGGAGAAGATGCAGAGAGGGCAAAGACACTGGGGCCACACACTCACTTTTCCATTTGGTTCTTCTTTAGCAAATCCTTGACAGGCTTGATGGGTTTTCCACTGCGGATCAAGTCTGAGACCTAGGAATGACAAGCAAGATGGTGGGAGGAGTACGGCGAGTTGGGGAAGAGAAGGGAAAATAAGGGTCAGAAATCCTGTGGACCTAGACCCAGGCCCAATAGGACTAGGAATGGAAGGGAGCTCTTATGTGGACGCGGTTGCACATTTGGATCTCATCACCTCCTTGCCACGAGCCACAAACTTGTCAGGAAGCCCAGCCTGGGCAGCTGTGTGGGAAGCATGGCTGGCCTTTGCAACACCTTCGCAGACCTGATAGAAGAAGACAAGGTCGTTGCCATCCTCACAGGTCTCCATGGTCTTAAAAGAGAATAAAAGACAGTAAGTATATCATCAATCACCTCCTTCCTGTCCTGAAACCCTTGGCCAATCCTGTGGGGAGGGAGAAAAGGGAAGGGATGTGGTCTCTGTGCTGAGGGAGGCTTTGTTCTGATACAGGAGCCAATCCCCACCTCTGGGAAATGCCCAGCCTGGGGGCCTCCGAGGAGCTAGATTGGTCTCCTCACCAAATACTGCACCAGGGGCCCTTGTGGCAGCAGCTGTAACTGGACAAGGCTCAGAAAGTTGGTGGCCACAAAGATGTGGGGGCATGTGGGTCCACGTGCCAGCCAGTGTCGGAGCACAGCGGCCAGAAGCGCGAGCCCATCCACCTGCAAGGAGGGCAGAGATTAGGGTTCGGAGCCATGGGGACCTCCATGTGCCCCTCTGCACTTGCACTGGCCTTTCCCTGTCTCATGTTCTATTTCTTTTCTGCCCACACAGCCCTATTCCATTCCAGAGGCCCAGCCTCACTGTCATGCTCCTTCATCCTCCTCCATTTTCCCCTCCTTAGTTTCTCCCCTCATCAGTTTCTCCCCTCACCGTGTTGGTTCCCTTTCCAAATTCATCAATGAGGACCAGCGACTGTGCAGTGGCATTGTTCACTGCTTTTGCCACCTGCAGGGTGTAAGGTGGACAAGGGAAAGTTAGTATTGGAAGCCCGTATCACACTGACCACAGTTGGCCTGTGAATAAAGCTATATACGCGCCCTCCCTACTGCACTGCAAGTTCTTGAATGCTGAGGTGCATGATTTGTTCATCCTCTTTGCCAACAGTGACTCACATGAAGCAAGGGTTCAAGAAATGTTTGTGGTATTGATTCTTCCTATCTCTGACCTTAGTGTTCCCCACTTTTAGTATAAAGGGTATGCAGCAGAGGGCATGCTTTCCTGTTATGAGCATTTTCAGGGGTTCCTTTCCCATTATCCTATCCCCTTCCTCAATCCCACCTCCCTTTGTTCCCTTTGACCTGGTTGAGGTCGATCATGAAGGTGGAGAGGCCAAGGGAGATGGATTCACAGCTATGAATTCGTGTGAAGATGGCGTCTACTGCCCCAATTTCGGCCTCCTCTGCTGGCACAAAGCTGCCTACCAGGGCCATGAATGTGATCAAGCCTACCTGAATAGGGAAGGAGACAGGGCCTGAGGCTTAGTGCTGTGGGCTGAGGTGAAAGTGAGGCTCAAGGCATGAATGACAGATCAAAGAGAGATGGACAGGGTGAAACAGGAGAAACAGATACACTGACTCTGTCTCTCCTCCCCCAGTCCCAATCATAGCCCTGTTGGCTAATTTAGAATCAGTAAAGAGGCATGGGACGTGGGCAGAGACATACTTGGGAGTGGTGTGTACCTACTCGGAGACGGGTGAAGGAATTTGAGCCATGGAAAGTTCCATTAGAGCATGGCTCTCCAGTGGAGAATGAGAACATGTGAGGTGGAAGGAAGCACAGGGATGTAGGTGATGGTCCTTTCATGAAGAGCGGGGTCAGAAAATGGGAGAAGAGCTGCAGGAGACTGGGTTGGTTGGCAAGTAGGGGTGGAGTAGATGCAGGAGGTGCCAGAGGCCCAGGCTGCAGGGCTTCTCCTCACCTGTTTGAGGTATATGCTCTTCCCTGATGAGTTGGGTCCAGTGATGACTTTGACCCTTCCTTTGTCCCCACCACATTCTGTGGAGTTGGGCACAAAAGTTCGGGCACAGAGTTCCATCAGAGGATGTCTGCAGTGGGTGGAGAGGCACCTCACATGGCTGGTGGATCAAGATGGATGAACCCCCAGAAGATGTAGCCTTTGGGCCCCTCATGTCTATTCCTCCACCCACCTCTATTCTTACCTGCCATTCTGGATTCGTACCCCAAGGACCTGAGGGGAGTAACGCGGCCTTGAGTAGCCATAGTCCCGTGCAGCACTGGCAAGAGCCAGCAGGACGTCCAGGCGGGAGGCAAGGTCCAATACTTGGGTTAAGACAGCTGCTCGTGCCAGCACCTGGCACTGCAGCTGGTACATCAGCAGTGTCTCCTGGTCTGGGAGTGGGTGAGGGAGGGAGCTAGAGGTCAGCTCCAGGGGAAAGTGAAGAAGAGGCAGAGGCCCCTAGAGGGATCTGGAAACAGGTTGCAGATACAATCTGAGACCTCAAGACATTCAGAGGAAAAGATAGAGTCAGAGTGAGTGAGACAGAGAACAGGAAGAGAAGGGGCCTGTTGGAAGCATCCCCAAGTTGCCCACTCCCCTCCTTCCCCTGGCTGCTTTTTTAAAAAACATCTTACAATGCATATAACCTCTGGCTTCTCCTCACCCCGGATCTCACAGTGCAGGTCCCCCAGCAATGCATCCAGCTCCTTGGTTCGGGCACTACGATAGTGCAGCTTCTCCTCTGAGAGAAACTGGGTACAGTGGTTCAAAGCTGTGGGCTTTGCATCTCTTGGTCCTCCTCTCCTTCCCCATCTTTCTAACCCCACCTCCAGCCCCTAACCCTGACTTCTCTTTCCTTTGTCTCAGTGCTGGTAAAGCTCAGAATAAAACTGCAGAGGAAAGATCCCATATTGGGCAGTGCTGCTGTAGGGTAAGGCCCTCCCTCAGCTGCTGACTCATTTTCCTCATCACTCACCTTACAGAGGTTGAGGGTCTTACCATGAAGTCCAGTCCATTAATCTCAAAGTCACTGGCCTCTACCATGAAAGGCAGGCGAGGAATAGAAAGAAGGAAGCCGATCTGGGGAGAGTAAATAGGAGATACTCTACTCTCCTGCTTGGAGACTTACTGGACACCTCCCCTCCCTAGAAGGAGCTTAAGAGATCCCTGTATCCCCACAAAAAAGTGTTCATGTTCTTCAGGCTGCCCCACAAGTTTTCTTATCTACCAGTATGTCTTTCATCAGCCTAGTATCTCCCCCAAAAGACCTCTGAAGGCTACACCCACTCTTTTGCCCTCACCAGAGGGATGTAGATGACACTGCATGAAGGAATACGTGAGTCCAGATTCTCCAGCTCCTTGCGGGCAACCTCAGTAAGGAAACTGGGAAGTCCCATCAGTCTTCGCTTTTCTACGAGGGTGGAAGACATGTAGTTATCAAAAGTGAGGCTCCTGCCCTGGTTGCTATGAAGATCCCCAGCTGTGGGAACCACCTGCCATGGATGGTACTCCATCACTGCGCAGGGCTCACAGGCCCATCCGCACCCAACACTCACTCTCATCAATTTCAGGATCTATGTTGGGGAGGACTGTGAAGCGATTTTCAGCAAGGCTGCCCTCAAAGTCCACCTGAGGAGATAAGTACTGTTTCTTAGCACCCGGCACCCTCTCTCTGTCCTGTTCCTCAGCTCTCCTTGGGCCCCAATTCTCCCTGCAGTCCTGCTTTAACTCTTATCCTCCAGATACTTCCCTGAAGTTCTGCCGCCTCCTGTCACCATCCCATTCTTTATCCAATTGACCTCAATATCTTCCATGCTTCCCCATCTCGCACACTGCATTCTCTCTCCCTGACCTCCCTGGGTGCACACTCACTACTTTCCCAATGAGGCTGGCAATATGATGCAGGTCATCAGAGAACTCTTGGGCAATGTCCCGAAAGAGCTGGATGGACTGCGGCAGGGAGCGGCAGGCATCCCTCAGGCCCAGGGCACCGTACACAGTCTATGAGAGAAACACAAGTAGGACAGCCCACATCCAGCTCAGGCTGGGGTGGGGATAGGGACAGACTCAGAAGAACAAAGACCAGTAGGGAAGATCACAGTAACAAAGAGGGAAGATCTCAAAGGCGAAAAGAAACAGTGGGAGGCACTGCACCAAACACTGAGGCTACAAAGACAATCAAGATAGGGTCCCAGCCAGGCGTGGTGGCTCACGCCTGTAATCCCAGCACTTCGGGAGGCTGAGGCAGGTGGATCACCTGAGGTCAGGAGTTCGAGATTGGCCTCACCTACATGGTGAAACCCTGTCTCTACTCAAAATACAAAAATTAACTGGGCATGGTGGCATGCACATGTAATTCCAGCTACTCGGGAGGCTGAGGCAGGAGAATCTCTTGAACCCGGGAGGTGGAGGTTATTATAGCAAGATTGTGCCACTGCACTCCAGCCTGGGCAACAAGAGCAAAACCCCATCTCAAAAATAAATAAATAAATAAAAGCAAAAAATAAAAAATTAGTTGGGTGTGGTGGCCATCACCTGTGGTCCCTGCTACTCAGGAGGCTGAGGTGGGAGGATCACTTGAGCCCAAGAGTTTGAGGCTGCAGTGAGCTACAGTTGTGCCATTGCACTCCAGCCCAGGTGACAGAGTGAGACCCTGTCTCAAAAAAAAAAAAAATTTCAGATATTTGATATCAAATAATATAATTTTTAAAGTAAGATAACAATATTGTTATTCTTTTTTTTTTTTTTGAGACGGAGTCTCACTCTGTCGCCCAGGCTGGAGTGCAGTGGTGTGATCTCGGCTCAGTGCAAGCTCCGCCTTCCGGGTTCACGCCATTCTCCTGCCTCAGCCTCCCGAGTAGCTGGGACCACAGGCACCCACCACCGTGCCCAGCTAATTTTTTTTGTATTTTTAGTAGAGACGGGGTTTCACCTTGTTAGCCAGGATGGTCTCGATCTCCTGACCTTGTGATCCACCCGCCTCGGCCTCCCAAAGTGCTGGGATTACAGGCGTGAGCCACCGCGCCCGGCCTGTTATTCTTTTTAAAAAATAATTTTCTTTTAGAAATTACCCTGAAATATTGGCCGGGTGCGGTGGCTCATGCCTGTAATCCCAGCACTTTGGGAGGCTGAGGTGGGTGGATCATGAGGTCAGGAGATCAAGACCATCCCGGCCAACATGGTGAAACCCTGTCTCTACTAAAAATAAAAAAAAAAAAAAATTAGTTGGGCATGATGGTGTATGCCTGTTATCCCAGCTACTTGGGAGGCTGAGGCAGGAGAATCATTTGAACCCAGGAGGTGGAGGTTGCAGTGCGGTTGAGATCGCACCACTGCACTCCAGCCTGGGCGACAGAGCAAGACTCTGTCTCAAAAAAAAAAAAAATTACACTGAAATATTTATGGATGACATTATATAATGGCTGGGCTTTGCTTAAAAATAATCCAAGAAAGCCAGGTGCAGTATCTCAGGCCGATAGTCCCAGTTACTCTGGAGGCTAAGGTGGGAGGATTGCTTGAGCCCAGGAGTTAGAGGCTGCAATGAAATATGATCACACCACTCCACTCTAGCCTGGGTGACAGAGCAGGACCTTATTTCAAAAAACAAACAACAACAACAAAACCCACAAAATAATCTAACAGGGGAAAGTGAGGGACGATATAAATGAAACATACTGTGCTGGGCACTGTGGCTCCCACCTATAATCCTAGCATTTTGGGAGACCAAGATGGGCGGATTACTTGAGGCCAGGAATTTGAGACCTGCCTGGCCAACATGGTGAAATCCCATCTCTACTAAAAATACAAAAATCACTCGGGTGTGGTGGTGGGCTCCTGTAATCCCAGCTACGTGGGAGACTGAAGTAGGAGAATCACTTGAACTCGGGAGGCAGAGGTTGCAGTGAGCTAAGATTGCACCACTGCAATCCAGCCTGGGCGACAGAGCAAGACTCTGTCAAAAAAGGGCAGGGAAGGGCAGGGCAGGGAAGGGAGAAAAAATAAATATATTGGCATAAGTTAAAGTGTTGAAACTGTATGGTGGGTACATGGGGGTTAATTATATTACTCTAAATATTTTTTACATTTTCCTGACTACAAAATTAAAAAAAAAAAAAAAAAAAAAAAAGAGGGAGGCCGGGCGAGGTGGCTCACACCTGTAATCCCAGCACCTTGGGAGGCTGAGGCAGGTGGATCACCTGAAGTCAGGAGTTCAAGACCAGCCTGGCCAACATGGTGAAATCCTGTCTCTACTAAAGATACAAAAATTCGCCAGGCGTGGTGGCAGGTGCCTGTAATCCCAACTTCTCGGGAGGCTGAGGCAGGAGAACTGCTTGAACCCGGGAGGCAGAGGTTGCAGTGAGCCAAGATAGTGCCACTGCACTCCAGCCTGGGGAACAGAGCGAGACTGTCTCAAAAAAAAAAAAAGAAAAAAAAAAAGAGGGTAGAATAAAATTGGACAGCATATCTAGGGCACAGACAGTCGGGAACACAGGCTGAGGTCTTTTACCTGGACTTCTGGGATTCAAGAAGGAAGGCCTTACCTTGTAGAGAACCTGCCAGTCGCTGACCTTGGTGTGGGACAACTTCATGCGTTTCAGAATCAGCTACAGTCAGACAAGGTTACAGCCACTGTTTTCCCTTCCCTCATTGTAATGCCCCTCAAGAAGCCCAATGCCCAGTATCAGCCCTCAACCTCCCTCCCCACCTCCCTGCCCTCCACCCTGGGCTCACCGGCACGTTCTTGATGTGACCCAGGAGCCGATGCAGCATCTGAGCCATGTCCAGATTCTGGGGCAGCAGAAAAAACTGAATGACGTCCAGACGAGAATTGAGTTCCCCTAGGTCATGCGTCGGGCGTGTGAACCATAGCCTGGAAGTGAGGGTTAGGGTGGGGTTACTAGAAGTTACATCTATTATCATCTTGATCTCAGTTTGCCAGAAAGTGTGTCTGCAGTCCCTGGGGATTGTGGCAATATGTATCCACGATGTACTATGGGAATGTAGTGGCAAAGTGCAGTGTCCTACCCATTCAGGTGTGTTTACATGTATCTACTGAAAATTGCTAGATGTGGGGGGAGAGATTGCATTGGGAGTTATACCTGATGTAAATGAGGAGTTGATGGGTGCTGAGGAGTTGATGGGTGCAACACACCAACATGGCACAAGTATACATATGTAACAAACCTGCACGTTGTGCATATGTACCCTAGAACTTAAAGTATAATAAAAAAAAAAAAAGTAAGAATTTGCAAAACTGATTAGTTTCACTAGCAATAAAAACATGGCAATTAAAAAAAAAAGAAAATTGCTAGATGTGAGCATAATTGTGTCTACGTATCACAGTTTCAATGGATAAGACCATGTGTCATTCCATGTATATAAGTAATGGAGCTTGTCAATATTTTAGAAGGACAGCAGTGTGTTGAGGTATTTGTGTGCCAACACTGCAGTTCGCTCTGCGGCTGAGTAAGAGACGGTGAGTCAGTATGAGTTTGTATGTCTGTATTTAGCTGTGAAAGTGTCTCAGGGTAATAGCAACAGACATTCGTCTTTTCATGTTCTTCCTGTGAAAACACAACTGTCCCATTAGGGATGGTAAGCCTTTAATTCATAATAATGGTCAACTCCGCAGAGAAAAAAGCATTGGGGAGGGACATTTAAGGGGCTTCAACAATATCATCTTATTTATTTTTATTTATTTATTTTGAGACAGTCTCGCTCTGTCGCCAGGCTGGAGTGCAGTGATGCAATCTCAGCTCACTGCAACCTCTACCTCCCGGGTTCAAGTGATTCTCCTGCCTCAGCCTCCCGAGTAGCTGGGACTGCAGGTACATGCCACCATGCCCGGCTAATTTTTGTATTTTTAGTAGAGTCAGTGTTTCACCATGTTGGCCAGAATAATCTCGATCTCTTGACCTCGTGATCTGCCCGCCTCGGCCTCCCAAAGTGTTGGGATTACAGGCATGAGCCACCATACCCGGCCAATAGTGTCTTATTCTTTTTTTTTTTTTTTTTTTAAGACAGAGTCTTGCTCTGTCACCCAGGCTAGAGTGCAGTAGCACAATCTCGGCTCACTGAAACTTCCGCCTCCTAGGTTCTGGGATTACAGGCACCCACCACCGTGCCCAGCTAATTTTTGTGTTTTCAGCAGAGACGGGGTTTCACCATCTTGGCCAGGCTGGTCTCAAACTCCTGACCTTATGATCCACCCGCCTCGGCCTCCCAAAGTGCTGGGATTACAGGCGTGAGCCACCGCGCCCAGCATGTCTTATTCTTAAATTGGCTGATGGATGTATAGATATTTGTATTATTATTATTATTTTTTTTGAGATGGAGTCTTGCTCTGTCACCCAGGCTAGGATGCAGTGGCGTGATCTCAGGTCACTGCAACCTCTGCATCATGGGCTTAAGTGATTCTGCCTCAGCCTCCCTAGTAGCTGGAACTATAGCTGTGTGCCACCATCCCCAGCTAAATTTTGTATTTTTTTTTTTTTTTTTTTGAGACGGAGTCTCGCTCTGTCACCCAGGCTGGAGTACAGTGGCTGGATCTCAGCTCACTGCAAGCTCCGCCTCCTGGGTTTACGCCATTCTCCTGCCTCAGCCTCCCGAGTAGCTGGGACTACAGGCGCCCGCCACCACACCCGGCTAATTTTTTGTATTTTTAGTAGAGACGGGGTTTCACCGTGTTAGCCCGGATGGTCTTGATCTCCTGACCTCGTGATCCGCCCGTCTCGGCCTCCCAAAGTGCTGGGATTACAGGCTTCAGCCACCGCGCCCGGCTAAATTTTGTATTTTTAATAGAGATGGGGTTTTGCTGTGTTGGCCAGGCTGGTCATGAAATCCTGACCTCAGGTGATCTGCCTGCCTCAGTCTCCCAAAGTGCTGGGATTACAGGCGTAAGCCACCACACCCAGCCATTTGTATTATTATTATTAGTTTTTATAGAAACAAGGTCTTGCTATGTTGCCCAGGCTGTTCTCAAGCTCCTGGCCTCAAGCAGTCCTCCTGCCTTGGCCTCCCAAAGTGCTGGGATTATAAGCATCAGCCACTGCACCTGGCCCAATAGCATTATTATTTACATCTTTTTTTTTTTTTTTTGAGACAGAATCTTGCTCTGTTGTCCAGGCTGGAGCAGAGTGGTGCGATCTCAGCTCACTGCAACCTCCGCCTCCCAGGTTCAAGCGATTCTCGTGTCTCAGCCTCCCGAGTAGGTGGGATTACAGGAGTGCGCCAACACACCCGGCTAATTTTTGTATTTTTAGTAGAGATGAGGTTTCACCATGTTGGCCAGCCTGGTCTCAAACTCTGGGCCTCTGGTGATCCACCTGCCTTGGCCTCCCAATGTGCTAGGATTACAGGCATGAGCCACCACGCCTGGCTAATTATATCTTTTTTGTGTGTTGGAGGTATTTCCTAATAAATTAAAATAAATTCATACACAGAAATAAATGTCTCATCTGTGTTTGTCTAATTCTGGGTACCCCTGTATCCTTATTGGCCATGAAGAGTGTGAGACTCTGTAGGGACTTGTGAGCCCACAAATTCTTTTCTACATAGGGCTAAGGATGCCATTTTATGTAAGAGCCAACATGTGTACACACTAGGGCCTGAAGCTTTGTATCTTACTTTGCAGTCTGTGGCCAGTTACTTTGGGTTAGAACACCCCAGATTAGAATGAAGCAGAGCATCCAGATGGCTTCAAGGGTGGGTTTCAGGTACCTCTGCTCCTTGGTCACTGAGGGCTCCCACCAGAACAGTGTAGGCCAGTCTGTAAATAGCCATCCCCACTTTAGAAAGCACTTGCGCTGCACTAAACACTTAGGTATCTCTGATTCATGTCCTGCTAGTACTGGCAAAGACTTCAGTTAAGCCAAACTCCGTAGTTTAACAACTGAGAAAATGAAATCGTTAAAAGATAAGCAACTTGCCCAAAGTCATACTGCCAATGAGAACAGCTAAGTCTCAAAATCATGTCTCCAGACTCCTAGGACAGTGCTCTTTAAAGCATACTGTGACATTCAGTAATATTCTTGGTGCCTTATCCAGCTTTTAGTTCTTGAACTCCTGGCCTCAAGCAATCCTTCTGCCTCAACCTCCCAAAGTGCTGGAATTACAGGCGTGAGCCACCACATCTGGCCCTATATTATTATTTACATCTTTTTGTGCATTAGAGGTATTTCCTAATAAATTCAAATAAATTCGTACATAGAAATATTAATAAATGTGTCACCTGTCCTTAGTTCATTAGATTATATGATGATTCTTCAAGTTATATGCTCTCATGCCCTATCTGATTCCATCTGGGGAATTTGCACTCCTCCCCCACCTTAAATCCAGCTCTCTTCTCCACTGAGAATTCTCTCCCTCCCATCTGTGGCTGAGATTAAAGATCTGCACCTGAAGCACTGGAGAATGTGTGGGTAATTAAATTCCTGGAGATGCTGATTACCTGATTACCCTGCTGATTACCTGGAGATGACCTCAGAGATTATCCTAAATTAACCCCTACAAGATATACATTTCAGCAGGAGATGAGGTAGGGGAAGGACTGTGCACCTGAGGCTAGCAAAGGTTTCCACTCTGAGTGTTTAGAGATGGTGTTACCAGTGTATTTGCCTTTGTGTTGTGCTCACACGTTGAGTGCTACTATGTACAAGACCATGTGTCAGACACTGAGGTAACAGGTATGGTCACTAGATAGAATTCATAGCTATGGAGGCAAGCAGATTCACTGACTGCTAATTCTAACCTGATGTGACAGTGCAACTAGAAAAACATAAACAAGCACTATGTGAGCACAAGGAAGGTGCACATCAATTCCTTACAGGTACCTGTAAAAGCCAAAGGGTAACAGTTGGGTTGCACCTTGAAAAGGATGTACTTTTTTTTTTTTTTTTTTTTTTTTTAAGACAGTCTCACTCTGTTGCCCAGGCTGGAGTGCAGTGGGGCAATCTGGGCTCACTTCAACCTCCACCTCCCTGGTTCAAGCGAGTCTCCTGCCTCAACCTCCTGAGTAGCTGATAATAGAGGCACGTGCCACGACACTGGGCTAATTTTTATATTTTCAGTAGAGAAGAAGTTTCACCAAGTTGGCCAGGCTGGTCTCAAACTCCTGACCTCAAATGATCCACCCACCTCAGCCTCCCAAAATGCTGAGACTACAGGCATGAGCCACTGTGTTTGGCCTAGATGTAAGATTTTGATAGGTACAGAACAAGGAAAAGACTTTCCAGAAGGAGCATCATAAACACAGGCATGACATGTTTCCATAATGGCAAGTGGCCCTAAATGACTAGAATATGAGTTAGATCCAGTAGGAAAGGACTTAGCAGGGGCTTGGGAAGGTAAAGCTGGAAATTAAAATGGGTAAATGTGACGGACCCTGAACATCATTATACTGCTAAAGATGATAATCTTCATCCTGAAGGTAATGGGAAAACCTCCTGAGGTTTATGTTATTTTCTTTCTACTTAGGCTATTTAAAAAGTGGAGTGACGGCCGGGCACAGTGGCTCATGCCAGTAATCCCAGCAGTTTGGGAGGCCAAGGTGGGCGGATCACCAGGAGTTCGAGACCAGCCTAACATGGTGAAACCCCATCTCTACTAAAAATACAAAAATTAGCCAGGCGTAGTGGGTGCCTGTAATCCCAGCTACTCAGGAGGCTGAGGCAGAAGAATTGCTTAAACCTGGGAAGTGGAGGTTGCAGTGAGCCGAGATTGCGCCATTGCACTCCAGCCTGGGCAACAAGAGCGAAACTCAGTGACAAAAAAAAAAAAAAAAAAAAAAAAAAGGAGGACATGCTTAATGCTTAGATCTCTGTTTTGGAATGACAGATTTTTTGTTTCTAGCTCACTTGAACTGGCAGAATGATAGGTATTTTAGAATGAAGAGTGGATTAGAAAAAGAAGAAGAGATGGCCAGGCGCGGTGGCTCACGCCTGTAACCCCGGCACTTTGGGAGGCCGAGGTGGGCAGATCACAAGGTCAGGATATCGAGACCATCCTGGCTAACACGGTGAAACCCTGTCTCTACTAAAAATACAAAAAACTAGCCGGGCGTGGTGGCAGGCGCCTGTAGTCCCAGCTACTCGGGAGGCTGAGGCAGGAGAATGGCGTGAACCTGGGAGGCAGAGCTTGCAGTGAGCTGAGATCGCGCCACTGCACTCCAGCGTGGGCGACAGAGCGAGACTCCGTCTCAAAAAAAAAAAAAAAGAAAAAGAAGAGATTAATTGGCCAGGTGCGGTGGCTCACACCTGTAATCCCAGCACTTTGGGAGGCTGAGGTGGGTGGATCACAAGTTCAGGAGATTAAGACCATCCTGGCTAACATGGTGAAACCCCCTCTCTACTGAAAATACAAAAATTAGCCGGGTGTGGTGGCGGGTGCCTGTAGTCCCAGCTACTCGGTACGCTGAGGCAGGAGAATAGCATGAACCCAGGAGGCAGAGTGCAGTGAGCTGAGACCATGCCACTGCACTCCAGCCTGGGCAACAGAGCGAGACTCCATCTAAAAAAAAAAAAAAAAAAAAGAAGAGATTAGAGGCAGAGAGACCAATTTGAAGGCAAAGGCAATGCTCCAGGTTAGAAATGATGATGACCAGAATTAGAGCAGTGGAAAGAGACAGGGATACCTGGGAGAGACATTTCAGGATAGAATCGATAGGACTCAGCGAATAATTAAATATGGGAGATGAGGGAGAAGCACCAATCCGAGGTTCATGGCTTGAGAAGGTGTACTGCCAGCAATGCCATTAACCAGCAAAGGGAATGCAGGAAAAGGAAGAGATCTGGTGGGCATCAGTTTGGATGCTCTGAGTTTGAGCTGCCTGTGAAGACTGCAGGTGGTGATACGCAATTAACATTCACATATGGAGGAGTTCAAAACTAGAGACGCAAATTTGAAAGTCATCACAGAAATTTGAAGTGTGTTTTCTATAACTAAAGATAACCATGCTAACATAGCCATGTGTTACATTAGCATTTTGTTTTGGGTTTTTTTTTTTTTTTGAGACAGAGTCTCATTCTGTTGCCCAGGCTGAAGTGCAGTGGTGCAATCTCGGCTCACTGCAACCTCCGCCTCCTGGGTTCAAGCAATTCTCCTGCCTTAGTCTCCCGAGTAGCTGGAATTACAGGCACCCACCAATATACCCGGCTAATTTTTGCATTTTAGTACAGATGGGGTTTTCCCATGTTGGCCAGGCTGGTCTTGAACTCCTGACTTCAAGTGATTCACCCACCTTGACTTCCCAAAGTGCTGGGATTATAGGCGTGAGCCACTGTGCCCGGCCTTACATTTCATTTTTTCCTGCTGCTTGTATGTGTGCAAGTCTATGTATCATCAATGGGTATATGTGTACCTGTGCTGACAACAAAAAATGAGATGAGTATCAGCTACTACACAAGGCTGTCATAAGGATGAAAAGCATTTAAGCCAGTGCTCAGTAAAGGGCAGTTGCTTTACTACTCCTAGGTGGGGTGGTGTATGTGAGAATCTGTATACTGCCATTAGTAGGCTTTAGTATGGAGTGTGCATATGGAATTCATGCATTAGTGTGTAGTACGTGAGGGACCCACTCACCTGAGCAGCTTCTCTCCCCACTTACAGCGGCATCTGTTGAGGATTCCTGTGAGGGATAAGGCAGGGAGTGAACTTGTTACAAGGCAGGGACAGGGAATGGAATATGTGTATGTGTCTAAGCTGAGGCATCCAGGTCAGAGGTGCTGGTTGTTGAGGAAGGTGGCCTGGGAGGACACAAAGGCAGCCAAAGCTGGTGCCTGAACACAAATATGAGCTGGGATTACCATACATGGAGATGGGGGGAGGGATGGACACTCACAGGGACGCTTAGCCAGAAAAATACACAAAGCAGGCCTAGTTAAAACTCAAGAGCCGGCCGGGCGCAGTGGCTCACACCTGTAATCCCAGCACTTTGGGAGGCCAAAGCAGACGGATCATGAGGTCAGGAGATCAAAACCATCCTGGCTAACATGGTGAAACCCCGTTTCTACTAAAAATACAAAAAAAAATAGCAGGGCATGGTGGTGGGCACCTGTAGTCCCAGCTACTTGGGAGGCTGAAGCAGGAGAATGGCATGAACCCAGGAGGCAGAGCTTGCAGTGAGTGGAGATCGTGCCACTGCACTCCAGCCTGGGCAACAGAGCGAGACTCCATCTCAAAAATAAAAAAAATAAATAAATAAATAAAATAAATGAAACACAAAAAACTCAAGAGCCCTGCCGTCCACCAAAAAATACAAAAACTCAAGAGCTGGCCAGGCAGGGTGGCTCATGCCTATAATCCCAGCACTTTGGGAGGCCAAGGCAGGAGGATCACTTGAGCTCAGGAGTTTGAGACCAGCCTGGGCAACATGGTGAAACACCATCTCTACTAAAAATACAAAAAAATTAGCTGGGTGTGGTGGTGTGGGCCTGTAGTTCCAGCTATTCAGGAGGCTGAGGTAGGATGAGGCAGGAGAATCACTTGAACCCAAGAGGCGGAAGTTGCAGTGAGCCGAAATTGTACCACTGCACTCCAGCCTGGGTGACAGAGCAAAATTCCATCTAAAAAAACAAAACAAAACAAAACAAAAACAAAACAAAAACAAAAAACTCAAGAGCCCAACACACATATGTAAAAAACTGGACGGCCAGGTGCGGTGGCTCATGCCTGTAATCCCAGCACTTTGGGAGTCCGAGGCAGGTGGATCACCTGAGGTCAGGAGTTCGAGACCAGCCTGGCCAACATGGTGAAACCCCGTCTCTACTAAAAATACAAAAATTAGCCAGGCGTGGTAGCAGGTGCCTATAATCCCAGCTCCTCGGGAAGCTGAGGCAGGAGAATCACTTGAACCCAGGAGGCAGAGGTTGCACTGAGCCAAGATTGCACCATTGCACTCCAGCCTGGGGGACAAGAGCAAAACTTTGTCTCTCTCACACACACACAAAAACTGGACACAACTTACTGAGATATGAAACCATATGGATATTTGCAGAGATGTCCCTAATATACCCTAAAGCCAGAGACAACTGATAAAGACTATACAAATCAAATAGTTATGCAGTTACAAAGCTCTCCTCTATATACAAGGCCTCCCAAAGTCCCTAACAGGTACCCAACTAGTAGAAACATTCATACAAACCCAGGGAAGGAACACAGAATTGGTAAGGTAATGGCTAATATGCAACACTGTACAGTCACAAAGTATGGGAAGATGCTCAAGCTTGGGTGGTGGCGGGTACTAAGAGGTAAGAAGTTGGATTGGCATGAAAGAGATATCTGACAATGGGAGTGAAGTGGGAAGGGAGGCTGGAACACATCTTTGGAGCCAATTGCTTTTCTGGTAGGTCTTTGTAATGTGAGATGAGGGATGGGGCATACCTACCAAAGAGGCTGAGCCCCTCCTTCAGTCCACTGGCCACTTTGTATGCTGAGGGGTGAGACTCGCTCTTAAAAATCTGTAGAACACTGTCAAGGAGAAATGGAGGAGTTTGGGGTAATTTGGACTTTTGAAGGGAATAAGAATTGAGGACTGAGAAATGGAATGGGGACAGGGGATATCCTCCTGAGTTCACATCTTTTTTTTTCTTTTTTTTTTTTTTTTGAGACGGAGTCTTGCTCTGTCACCCAGGCTGGAGTGCAGTGGTGCAATTTCAGCTCACTGCAACCTCTGCCACCTGGGTTCAAGCAATCCTCCTGCCTTAGCCTCCTGAGTAGCTGGGATTATAGGCGCACAACACACCCAGCTAATTTTTGTATTTTTATTAGAGACGGGGTTTCACCATATTGGTCAGGCTGATCTCGAACTCCTGACCTCAGGCGATCCACCCGCCTTGGCCTCCCAAAGTGCGGGGATTACAGGCACGAGCCACCGAGCCCAGCCGAGATCACATCTTGATGTAAGGTTTGTCCCTTACTTTTCTTTGTCTCAGTTTCTCCCTATAGAAAGAAAGTTAATAGCTTTATGCTTTTCTTCCTCTCTTTCCCTCAAAGCCCCCCTTCCCTTTCCCTCAAGGAGAGAGATCTTAATAGCCCCAGGATTAGGGAAACTAGAGCCTCATTAGGATTACTGGGGCATTAAATTTAATCCTTCTCCCTCCCCAGAGACAGCAGCATGCCTCCACCTCTTTACCTGTAAGTGTCTTGATCTATGTTCACAAGATGAGTCCTGAGGACAGAAAACAAGCAGGAAGGGGGCTGGGGTATGAGGGGTCTGAGTTCATTCCACAACTGCACTTTCTTTGCCCTCCTTTCTGAATATTGTCCCAGTCTTCTTCCCAAAGTCCCATAAGCCCTTAGGTTCTCCCGGGTGTCCTAGAGCACTTGACCCACTGGGTCACAGCCACACCCACACCCCACCCCCATTTTACTTTTCAGGCCTCCCAATCCCACATTACTTTGGTTGGGGTTGGGGCGAATCACCTACAACATAAATTTCTTAAAGCCCAGGATGGGGACGCTGACATTATAGTCTTCCAGTTCAACCCCGATTCTTCTTCGACCCAGGAACTTCAGCAGCCCTCCAAGTGCTCGAACCTGGGAGGGGATCAGCAGTGGAATTGGGGTAAATCTTAATCTCCTGGGGGCTGCAGAGCACCAGGGAAAGTTATTATTTTCCAGGGCTAGGCCAGTACCTCCCAGAACTCAGCCCTAGCACTGAGGTTCTTGTGCCTTTCTCCAACCTGCCGCCTCCCAGCCCTTATCCCCCAGGACCAATCTTACTGTGAGGAGGCAGTCAAAGGGAATAATGGAAGAGAGGAAGAGGATTTTCTCAGAGGCAGTCATGGAGTCTGGGATGAAGGAGTAGTTTCCAGAAAGGAGGCGTTGTTTGCTTATCTCCAGACCTATTTGAGGGAGGTAAGCAAAGTGAAAGGTCTTGTAGCTCAATTTTTTCACCCCATTTTAAGAATGAGACAATAGAAGCAAGAGAGATGATTTGACTTGCCCAAGCTCACACAGGCAGTTAATGGAAAGCTAAAGCAAGAACCAAATTTTCAGATTCTTAGTCTAATTCTCTTTTTATTCCACATATAATATAAAGATACTTGGCTGAAAGCACAGCCTGAGAAAGATAAATGGCTGAGGAAAGTAAGATATCTGTCTGGAATTGAGGATTTTGGTCAAAATGATAATATTAATAGAACTAGTAACACTAATCCCTTAATATGTAATTAGGATAGTACACTCCTGCTCTTACTGTAAACCTAGGAAGGTTATGGAAGTGCCTTATGGATCATAATAAGGGTCACTGAGGCAGTGCCTTTTGGTTTTGTGATAAAAGGCTTTAACTTAATGGGAGAAATTCCAACAATAAAATCTGTCCAAAAATTGTCACCACTCCTCAGGGGAGGCCCTCATCCCTAGACATGACTTGAGCAGAGGCTTCCCAATAAGCTGCATATTATTAAAGGGTAGGGAGCAGGAGAGATCTTGCGGGGACTGGTCATAGGGGTGAGAAGCACAAAGGTTTAAGATGACATAAGGCAGAGGGGAGATCTGTGATGATGAAGGTAGAGTTAGGGGGAAAGAATGGGACACCGGAACAGGGAATTATGCAAAGCAAAAGGAAGGAGATACCAAAATCCACACTTGGCAAAAATACGATTTCAGGTCTTTTAGGCTGTCTGTGCTCCTGGGAGGCTGTTGGGGAGGCAAAGAAAAGGCTATCATTCTGTACATCTCAGTCGTTCTACCTCTGTCTGACACTCCCTCTCACCCAATTCTAGCCCCCTGGAACATTCCATACATTAGTCCTTCCCCATTTTCCCTCTATCTTTTACCAAGTCCTTACCAAGCTTTCCCAGAAATCGAGTCATATTCTCATCCTGTTTGGCACTCGTAACAACAGACTGGGGATTGATCTCATCCAGAACTTGGAAGGAGAACAGAGATCAAATGAGTTAAAGGATCTCTGTCTTTGACTAAGAGAAAACCCATGGCCCTCCTCTTCCTACCCCTCTCCTTCTCAAAAACATTTCCTCCCTAGGAGTAGGAAGTGATCTGCACATCGGGAACATAGGCAGACGTTAGGAATGAGATTTAGAAAAGTAGTAAGAGTGGTGGGATGGTGGGAGGGAAGTGGGATGCTCTGGATATTGTCACTAAACTGTAAACCCCTGGAGAACAGATGTGACTGATTTGCCCAGGGCTGAATCTGAGGCACCTGAAACACTGTAAATACGTCATATACCTTTGTGGCCAGGCACAGTAGCTCATGCCTGTAATTCCTGCCTTTTGGGAGGCCAAGGCAGGCAGATCACTGGAGGCCAGGAGCTCAAAACAAGCCTGGCCAATGTGGTGAAACCCCATCTCTATTAAAAATATAAAAGTTAGGCCGGGCGCGGTGGCTCACGCCTGTAATCCCAGCACTTTGGGAGGCCGAGGCGGGCGGATCACGAGGTCAGGAGATCGAGACCATCCTGGCTAACACGGTGAAACCCCGTCTCTACTAAACATGCAAAAAATTAGCCGGGTGAGGCGGCGGGCGCCTGTAGTCCCAGCTACTCGGGAGGCTGAGGCAGGAGAATGGCGTGAACCCGGGAGGCGGAGCTTGCAGTGAGCCGAGATCGCGCCATTGCACTCCAGCCTGGGCGACTAAGCGAGACTCCGTCTCAAAAAAAAAAAAAAAAAAAAAAATATAAAAAATAAAAGTTAGCCAGGCATGGTGGCAGATGCCTGTAATCCCAGCTACTCGGGAGGCTGAGGCAGGAGAATCGCTTGAATCCTGGAGGCGGAGGTTGCAGTTAGCCAAGATCGCACCACTACACTTCCAGTCTAAGTGACAGAGCGAGACAGCGTCTCAAAAAAGAGCAACCAAACAAACCAAAAAACAACCTCACAAATATTTGTTAAATAATGAAATGAATTAGTAAAAACAAAAGATGGAGCCTCTGTGAGGCAACTGTAAAATATATTGAGTCAGTGCTATACTTTGGATGTGATTTGTCCCCACCAAATCTTGTGTTGAAATTTAATCCCCAGTGTGATAGTGTTGTGAGGCAGGGCCTAGCAGGAGGTGTGTGGGTGATGGGAGTGGATCGTTCATGAACAGATTAGTGCCCTTCCTGGAGTGTGTTGGTGGGTATGTGTGAGTGGTTCTCACTCTATTAGTTCCTAACAGAGCTGGTTGTCAAAAAAAGATTGGCATCTGTCTCCCCCTTGCTTCTTCACACCCTGCCTTCCCTTCTTCCATGAGTTGAAGCAACCTGAGGCCCTCACCAAATGAAGATGCCCAATTTTGAGCTTTCCAACCATCCAGAATCATGAGCCAAATAAAAACTTTTTTTTTTTTTTTTACAAATTACCCAGACTCAGGTATTTCCTTACAGCAACACAAAATATGCTAGACAGTGAGGTGAGTTAATGTAAGTGAAACGTGGCTGGGCGTGATGGCTCACGCCTGTAGTCCTAGCACTTTAGGAGGCCAAGTTGGGCAGATCACAAGGTCAGGAGTTTGAGACTACCCTGGCCAACCTGGTGAAACCCCATCTCTACTAAAAACACACACAAAAAAATGAGCTGGGTGTGGCGGCACACGCCTGTAATCCCAGCTACTTGGGAGGTTGAGTCAGGAGAACTGCTTGAACCCAGGAGGCGGAGGTTGCAGTGAGCCGATTGCGCCACTGCACTCAAGCCTTGGCAACAGAGTAAGACTCTGTCTCTAAAAAAAAAAAAAATGTGTGTGTGTAACACATTTGCAATCCCAGAGAGCAGAGGAAATCCTGGTTCCGTCCCCACCTCTCTGGAGAAGCTTGAGGCTCTCGTGATCTGGGGCATCTGGCATGAAGTGGATAGTGGAGTCACTAGTATCATAGTAGGCAATGCCCATGTATCCTGAATTCCACAGCACACACAGATGGATCTGTCCAGCAAGAAACAAAGGAAACTACTATTGGAATCACTCCAGTGTAGGGTTTGCCATGCTTTATGTAATTTAATCATTTATCAAATATCTGAGATAGGTATCATCACCCCCATTTAGTGAATGTGAAATAGCCATTCAGGAGGTAAGACACTTGCCCAGCTCTTCCCAACCCTGTTTTTGTTTTGCTTTTTTCTTTTTTTGAGATGGAGTCTTGCTCTGTCGCCCAGGCTGGAGTGCAGTGGCACAATCTCAGCTCATTGCAACCTCCGCCTCCCAGGTTAGAGTGATTCTCCTGCCTCAGCCTTCCCAGTAGCTGGGATAACAGGCACGCGCCACCACGCTCGGCTAGTTTTTGTATTTTTAGTAGAGACGGGGTTTCGCCATGTTGTCCAGGCTGGTCTCGAACTCCTGAGCTCAGGTGATCCGCCCACCTCAGTCTCCCAAAGTGCTGGGATTACAGGTGGGAGCCACCGCACCCGGCCCCCAACCCTCTTTTATTGTAACTTCCCATCAATTCTCCATTCAAGTTCCTACTCCCCTCAGAGACCTCGGCCAGCTCCTCCTCCTCCTCAACTTCCTCCTCCTCGGCCTCCCTGGGGCCCGCCACTGGGGCCGGGCTGGAGAAGCCAGAGGCCGCCCCAGGTCCCGGCCCCTGCGGTGTCCTGCTTGGGTTCACTCCTAAGGAGGCCATGAGCTTGGAGGCTCTGCGGATGCAAAAAGAGAGAGCAGTTCGGAAGCAACGATTCACGGAGAAGGCCGGGGTAGGCTGGTGCGCAGAATGCAAAGCACTAAGTACTTCTGCGACAGGGCTGCGTGGCAGGGCTGACGGGCGTGGAGAGCTGTGGGCACAGTGGGTGAATTTTCAGGTTTGTAACTAAAGTACAGATTGTGGGAAACTCCACGCGCCCCACCCTCATTCCTGTCACGCGGAGGTTGCACTTTGGAAGGAAGTGGTCTGAGGGCTCTGTGGGGCGATCGTGCACGTCTTATCTCTCTGCCTCTGCCAACCACGCGCCAGGACCACAGCCTCACGCTCTTATCTTCCTCCTCCCCCAGCTGCCGCCATTGCAGCGTTTTCCCGCCTTTTCAGTAACCTGAGTCGCAACAAGCGGGAGAGCGCCCCGCTGACCAACCGCCAGGAGCCTGCAGGAGGAGCGCGCCGGCGCGTGGGCGAGGTGCGCGCGCACGCCCCCCGCCCTCCTAGCCGCTATTGATTGGAGAGGCCCGGATCCAGCCTAGAGATCCGACAGGGCGAGGAGGAGAAGCAGACTGCCGTGGCTGAAGAATCTGGACGCTGATTGGCCTATTCGCCTTCGGGGCGGGTCCAGAACGTTCAAACTTCCCGCCCTCTGCCGTTGCTTAGCAGCCGGGCCTCTAGCCCTCACTGTTTCTGGGCTTTGATTGACGCAGTGGAAAGCCCGCGAGAAGGTCGGACGAGGGGCCGTAGTCTCTGTCCCTGGAAGGGGTTTGGGAGCGTTGCGGGAGTTTGAGGAGGAGGCCAACCTTAAAGAGCCAGAGGCGCTTTTTTTTTTTCCCCCCTGCAACAACTCTAAGTTAATATTTGTACCCTCTGAGTTAATATTTATACAGAGCTTAGAACAGTGCCTGGCAAACAAAGTAAGACCTAAATGAGCGATGTTTCAAATAAGCGGAAACAAGCAGGACTCCTGCCTCAGCCCTCCTACCGTGCCTGTTTCTGGGTGCAGGGTATGACCACCCCCATAATGGCACGACGGGGCCTAGTTTATTATTTAAACCCCTCAAGTGGAGGTGGAAGCATTCGAATTACATCAAATTCTGGCAGAGAGAAGTAGATCTGATCAGAAGAACACCTACACCCCTATTGGGACATGCCCATACCTCTTCGCACATCTACACACCCCTGAAGACAGAGGTATCATTCATGCATTCGGCAACTATTTATTTAGTGCCTATTCTGGGCCAGGGGATAGACTCAAAGCGGTGAACATAACGAAGTCCCTGCTCCATAAAGCTTATTTGTGCGTGTGTGTGTGTTGCTGGGGAGGTTAGGAGGGAGAAAGAAGGAAAGGAAGGGAGGGAGGGAGGGAAGGAGGGAGGGAGGGAAGGTAGGGAGGAAGGAAGGAGGGAGGGAGGGAGGGAAGGAAGGAAGGAAGGAAGGAAGGAAGGAAGGATATTCCCTTTAAATGCACCATCCTCTCCAGCTTTGTTCCTAATACCCTGAGATGGGGAGATTCCTCCCCAGCCCCCCAACCCAAGAAGTTAGGAAAGATGGTGGGGGTGAGATGACCTAGCTGTGCTAACCAGTAATTGGAAAATCTCCTCTAGCAAGAAAAGTGGGGGAACAGAGTTAAGGGCTGGGTTAATGGTTACCCCTGGCAAATTTGTTGAGCAATGGAGCCATAGAAACTTGGAGGAGGTTGGTGACAGCTCTGGGGAGTGTCAGGGAGGGACCCACCTTCCAATCAGGGGTGTGAAGAGATTAGGAACTGGTTTACCAAGCCCAGGAAGGGGAGGGAGTGGAAAGAGAAGCCCGGAGAGGGAAAGAGGAGCTACTGAGATAGGAGAAATGCAGGGGCAAGGAGGTGAGATGGAGGGAAACCTCTGATGCAGGATTTGGGGGTACAGCCCTGGCTCTGCTGAATGGTTTCAGGAGAGGGCAGTGTTGCCTGTCACCTGGTAAATTAAGGCACGATACCCGGTGGGTAGTCATGCCAGCCAGCCAAAGTCATTATTGATATCAAGGCAGCTGTAGCTATCAAGCTGTAGGAGAGAAAAGAGAGGCAGGGGAGAGGCTGCCAAACCTGTCTGATCTTCAAGCTGGCCCCATTTACTTAAGGCTTCTCTTGGACACAGACCAGTTGGAACAGGAGAGGACCCTGAGAAGTAGAGTTGCTTTGATCCCCTCCCCTCAGTGGGAAGGGGTCCTGTGTGCAGATTTTGAGGGTCACCATAGAGGGATTTCACACACATATAGTCATGGAATCATATCCTTATAGGATGTTACAGTTCAAGGGAACAAACACCAAAGATAGCCTTTCTGTCGGAAGGAGAGAAAAAGGCCCTCCCACAGGCAAGATAAAACCCACAGAAGAGGAAGCACAAGAGGAAACCACCAACTGCTGGTTTCCAGCAGCACATCACGTCATTCCACCCCACTCCTCCCCCAAGTCTCTCCCTTTCTTTAAGTTTCAAGCCCTGTTTTGCTTCTGTGTTCTTGCACTCCACCATGGTTTTCTGGAACTGAAAACCAGGTCTTTTGTTGGACAGAGGGTGAAGAGCAGGATAAAAAAGGGATGGTTGGACAGGAGAGAAATTCAGGATATGGAGGCTGGAATTCCGGGTTTATTTTTTCAGCAGGTCATAAAAGGTTTAATAGAAATCAAGGTTACTGGGTAGAGAGCTGCTCCTCCTGTGTCCTCCCCACTTATTTATTTAGGTGTCCCCAAGGACTCCACTCCCACTATTCTGTCTGATCTTTCTTTATGCCCATGACAGGACCAGCTAACAACACCCCTGCCCCACCCCCTATACACATACTTCAGGATTGGGGCAGCTCTGTCTCAGGGCCATGATAATCCCACCCCTCTGCCCCATCTCCAAGGCAACCTGTCAGTGAGAAGAGGACAAAGGGCACAGGAAGGGGCCCCAATAGGAAGCATAAGTGGAAGCACAAAGCTGACCAAGCTACAGGAACAGACCTCTCCCTGCGACAAAGCCCCTTGCCTCAGCTTTTTGTTTCCTTTGCAAAAGACTTGGTCATTTCCCTTCCTATCCCTAACTCTATTTTCTTTTTATTTTATTTTATTTATTTTTTTTTTAGACAGTTTCGCTCTTATTGCCCAGGCTGGAGTGCAATGGCACCACCTCGGCTCACTGCAACCTTCACCTCCTGGGTTCAAGTGATTCTCCCGCCTCCGCCTTCTCGAGTAGCTGGGATTACAGGCACTCACCACCACGCCTGACAAGTTTTTGTATTTTTAGTAGAGATGGGGTTTCACCATGTTGGCCAGGCTGGTCTCGAACTCCCTGACATTAGGTGATCCACCCCCTTCGGCCTCCTAAAGTGCTGGGATTACAGGTGTGAGCCACCTCGCCCGGCCGCTAACTCTACTTTCTATACCCAATCCCAAGTCTAGGCCACAAGGACTGCAAATCTTAGTGCTGAGCTGGGCCTGCAGACAGTAGACTGTAGGGGGCACAGGACCTACTGAGACACCAGTCTGGGCAGCTCAGGAAGTGCTGGCGTCACCCCTTCCCTAATCCCAGGCTGCATGGCTAACGGTTCCTATCTGCAGTCCCAGCCTTCCACTTCCGAGTTCTTCTCTCAGACCACAGTCCCAGCAACCCAGAATTTGGATTGGAGTCTGGAAGAAATGCAGAAGGATTAAACGACCACCTTTCCATTCAAAGGCCGCATCCCTGGATCTTCACGGGTGTGCCTAAGCTGCTAGTGTCAAGTTTTTTATATGAGGGTCAGTTGGGTTGTACTCAGGTTAATGAAGCAGGGAAACTGAGGCAGAAAAGAGTCTTGTGTTCAGGAGAAGTCGGACAAACAAGGAGGTTTTCAGGACTCCTCCTTAACACCCCCATCCCCATCCTGTGGGAGATCCGAGGATTCCCCTTCCGGACCCACTCCCTACATCGTCGAGTCCCGCCCCCCTCCAATCCCCTCCCCAGGTTCAGGGCGGGGCCGGTCGGTGAGTCAGCGGCTCTCTGATCCAGCCCGGGAGGGGACCGAGCTGGAGGAGCTGGGTGTGGGGTGCGTTGGGCTGGTGGGGAGGCCGAGTTTGGGAGCAAATAGGGTCTGATTGAGCTTGTGTTGCACTGGAGGGACAGCCCTGGGTCTAGGGGAGAGAATCCCTGAGTGTGAGACCCGCCTTCCCTGGCCCCAGCCCCTCCCAGTTCCCCCAGCGACGGCCACTTCCTGGTCCCCGACGCAACCATGGCTGAAGAACAACCGCAGGTCGAATTGTTCGTGAAGGTAAGAACGCTTCTCTCCTCAGCCACCCAAAATTCCTGGAAGCCAACTCCCACGTTTCCCTCGGTCCAGCCTTAACTCCCTAATCCCTTCCCTCCTTGGCTCCCACCCCCAATCCCACATGCCCTCTTTGGTTGAGGGGTGGTTTTGAGAGGGGAAGACATTAACTTGTTAGCAAGTAATGAGAGTTCTAGGATCAACCCTGAAAAGTTTGTAAAAGTGCAAGTTTCTAGCAGCCTAAAAGAAGGGAAGTAGAGAAAAAGGAGAATTCCCAAAAGTGAGAGTGGGGTGGGGTAGGGAGCGAGCTGGTGAAGGGACAGTGGGGGCCCAGCAGGGTTTAGAAGGGACAGAGGGGAACCTCAGTTAGGACATGTGTCCCTACAAGATCTGAGGGTGAGTAGTGTAGCAGGGGAGGGGGGTGTGTGTGTGTGTGGCTGGAGACATTTCAGGGAAGAGTGTGTGTTGAGAGAGGCCTGAGAGTGAGAGCAAGTAAATTGGGAAGCTTTGAGGGGGTGGAACAAAACAGGAGACTGGGATCAGAGTTCGAAAAGCAGAGCTGGAGAGGTGATGGGGTGGCATCGAATATCCGCAGGACTGGGGAAAGGGAGAGAAGGGGAGGTGGCAAGAAGACGTGAGTAGCTACCACAAGGATGGGTGGGAGAGAGATCACATAGAGGAAGAGAGCTCAGTTAGGGCATTTTGGGATTTGGGGGTTGGAGAAGTAGAAGACTTGCCCCAACTCTCTCCTCTCTCTGCGGGTGTGGGTGAGGAGAGATGGTCCTATGGCATTTGGGTAGCAAAACTGCAGGCAGCAGGCTTCTCGGTGTTGCCCAGCTCCCCTCTGATTCCAGCGGCCGGTCCCCTCCCTACCGCTGCTGCATTCTTTCCCCAGTCTGGGGACCTCCTGTCTATGCCCCTCTCTCCCTTCTGTAACAGCGTCCTCCTCTCTGCTCTGTTTGTGTCTCTCTGTTGGCATGCATGTCTCCCCACCCTCCACTTTCCTGCCGCCTTTCTTTCCCCTTCCCCGCTTTTGTTTCTCTCATCTTTGTGTGTCTCTGCCTGTGTCTCCCTCTCCCTTGTGCTTGGGTTTCTCGGGCAGCCATTCCCTCTCCCTGGGCCGGGGGAAGTCAGAGTGTGCTTGGGTCCACCCCCTTAGGTGTGGTCCCCACCTCACCCTCACATTCGCCTCTGGG